TGTTTTTTTTTTTTTTTTTTTTTTTTTAGATTTCAACATTTTGAAAAAACTAGCAAACTGCAGCCTAAAAATATTGAAAAAAGAAAAAGCTATGTCACTAATGCACAAGATAAATGCAGATAGTCATATTTTATCATTTACTACCATAAAATATACACAAGTGAGTTATAAAAAGTTAAACTTTATCAAAACCTATGCATACTGACGCTTATAGACCATACATGACATTGTTCACAGTCAAGAGAAATGCTAACAGCCAGATGTGGTAGCACACACCTATAATCCCAGCTACTCAGGAGGCTGAGGCAGGAGGATTGTGAGTTTGAGCCCAGCCTGGGCAATTTAGCAATTTAGTGAGACACTGTCTCAAAATACAAAATAAACTGTGTGTGGCACGCATACCTACAATCCCAGCACTGTGGGGGGGCTAGGAGGAAGATTGCAAATTCCAGCCCAGCCTGGACGATTCAGCAAGATCCTGTCTCAAAATAGAAAAGGGCTGGGGATGTAGCTCAGTGATAGAGCACTTGCCCAGCATGCATGAGGCCCTGGGCTCCATCCCCATTAATAAGAAGGGTTTTAGATTGTGAGCAGCTGGCACCTGCATCTTCCAAGGGCCAGCTGCAAAGCTATGAGCGGCATTACTGGCTCATAATACTCTTATCTTACTCTGTGAGGAATTACTAAACTTGATTCCTTTTTACAGAATTTTAAAGTTTATTTTTTTAAGTTATTTTAAATTAAAAACTTTATTAGTGCATGTCTGTAGTACATAATGATCATATTCCTCACGAAGCGTTGGTGCATGTGCACATTTCTTAATTCTTTTTTTTAATCCCCTTCCTCTCCCCTCCCTCCCAGTTTTACAGAATTTGCTGTCCTTTTCCCTGTTTTACAATTGTGAGATTGAGCCTCAGTCAGCGCCATACTCACTGGCTTTCTGAAGGGCAGGTTCGGAACAGGAGGGAAGGCCAGGGGCTGCCTGGGAGGCCGGGACGGACAGGGCTGTGATGTGGATGTTTCCGGGCAGTCAGGGTGTGCCGCTGTGTGCAGAGCCATCCGTGGGTCCTGCCGTAGAGGCATCTGCTGTGCCAGGCACCAGGTGCCCGTGTGCCTTGGGCCAGAAGGCCCTCAGGCACGTGTAGCCTAGCGTTCAGACGCAGAGAAGTCGAGTGGCTTGGCCAGAGTCTCGCGGCCTGGGAGGTGCAGAGTTGTGTCACTTGGGTCCCCTCACTCTGTTCGTGTCACAGAGCTTTTGAGCTTGAGTCTGCAGAGTCCTAAAGGGTGCTCTTGCCTATGTAGGAAGAAGGCCTGACAGCTGTGACCCCAGGCCTCCTGTCCTGTCCCCATTCCCAAGCAATTTTAGATTGGGGTTTCTCCCCTCTCCTTCTGGCCCTGTTGCTATTTGGGACTGAATCGTCCTCAATGGTAGGCATCCTGTGCCCCAGAGGAAACTTCCTTCTGCACCTGGCCTCTACCCACTAGAGCCCATGGCAGCTCCTCCCCAGTACTGGTGGAAGTGTCTCCTGAGTGCGAACCCCTGGTCCTCTAGTTGTGGCCGATTCTGAGCCACAGCAGGCCCTGCAGCTTGCTGCCCAGTGGCTCCAGGTTAAGTTCCTTAACCTCCCTGGGCCTGCAGATCCGGATGCCCGTGCTATGAGACAGCGTTTCCAGGACTCCTGTGGGCAGGGAAGCTGTGCCATGGAGAGCAGTAAACACCTTGCCCAGCTGGCTTTGAATCCAGGTCTGAACTCCCGCCACCTCTTTCCTCCAACTTGCCTTGACAGCAGTTCACAGGCAGAGCTGAACTTGGAACAAAGTTTATTTTTTATTACTATGAAACATTCAAAATGAGCTTTCTGCCGTGAAGAGGTGTGGAGATGGGAGAAAATGAAGTTAGAAGGGGAAGAAAAAAAAAAAACAACTTTGCTTTTGTCAGTTAAACAGCTGCAGTAAGACGGAGGGCAAGGAGAGCCTGCGTGACCCAGGCCTGCAGCTTCCTGCAGCCTTCGTGGAAACCAGTGGAGATGCCACTTGTGGCCAGGAGTAGGGACTGGTGGTGGGGTCTGCAGAGCTGGAGTCTGAGGCCCTGATTTTGGCTGCCTGTGGCTGGTGTTTATGAGATATCACTGGCTAAGGCCGGGCAGAGTTGGGCAGAGTGCCTCTTGCCTACTTAACACTTGCTCCAAAGGGATCCCTGGGAACTCTCGGCATTGTAGCAGCTGAACCCTGCAGTGCCCCCTGAGCCCGTAGCATGGAGGCACTGGGACGACAGTGATCTTTCTGCTGTTCCACAGGGCAGACTGGGGCAGCATCGTGGAGACCAGTAAGCAAGAGATCAAAGGTGTCATTTATCAGGACTGAGAAGGCAGGGACAGAAGGGTTCTGTAAAGATGGAGGTGAGGGGTAAGGCTTGCAGTGTCAGGGTGGAAGGGGACAGGCATCTCCTGTCCAGGTTGGGCCTGGTCTCACTGGTTCTTGAGGGTGGGCGCCTCCATCCAGTATGGGATAGATTTCAGTGTCACAAAGGCCAACATCTCCTTCCATAAACTGTGTCCACCTTTATATCCTAGGTAAAGAAAAAAAGGAAAACAGGAATTTCAGTTAGCCCTTTTCAAAAGTGCACCTGTGTGGTCATGAACATATGTTAATTTAATACACAAAATAGCAAATACCCAGTGACCTAGAAAAACAGGCTGAAGTTTCCTCCAGTCTTGAAGTTTGGCTGGATGTAATGGCACAGACCTGCAGTCCCAGCACTCTGAGAGGCTGAGGCAGAAGGATCACAAGTTTGAGTTCAGCCTGGCTGACTTAGCAAGACCTTGTCTCAAAATAAAAAAAATCAAAGTAGGCTAAGGATGTAGATCAGTGTGAATTTGCTAGGTTTGTCCTGTTCAGTCTCTAGTACCCTCCACCAACACATACCCTACTGGTTTTTAAAACTACCTGGTATGAGGGCTGGGGATTTAGCTCAGTGGTCCTGCCGCCTCCCTCATAAGTGGAAGGTCCCGAGTTTGATCCCCAGTACCTAAATAAATAAATCTACCTGGTATGAGGGCCAGGGATTGAGCTCAGTGGTTCCGCTGCCTGCCTCTCAAGTGCAAGGTCCTGAGTTCAATCCCCAGTACCAAAACAAACAAACAAACAAATCTACTTGGTATGATGGAAATAATATTAAAAATATGTAGAAATGGAAAAAAAATGAAGGTCTCACTGTCCCACTGTGAGAACAAATGACACTGTGTCCCATGCTTTCTTCCAGAGGATTGGGGCTACTCTGTTTCCCAGAGTTGTTGTGATGGTTTTTTTGTTGTTGTTTTTGTTTTTTATTTTGGAGACAAGGTCTCATTAATTTGCTGAATTGCCGAACCTGGGTTTGAGTTTGCAATGCTCCTGCCTCAGCCTCCCAGAGTCCTGGGATTACAAGTGTACACCACCATGCTAGCTTATTGTCATGTTTTATGTACAAATTTGTGTTTGCATCTTTGCTGTGGGTGAATGACCATGTGGTGACCGAATTCTTTCTTTTTTGTGTGTGGTACTGGGAATTGAACATAGGGTCTTTGCACTGAGCTACATCCCCATCCCTTTACTGTTTTTTATTTTGAGACCCCACTGTTACCCAGGCTATGCTCGAACTTGTGATCCTTCTGGGAGCTGGGGTTGGACAACCACCAAGGGCTGTATGGATAGAAAGTGAGGCTTCCTTACCTGAGGACCCTACAGCTGGCCCAGAGGAGGCACCAGGGCCTCCCTGGAGGGCCCTGGCTCCAAAGCCCTGGGATATCCTCCTGGGAGTCCAGGCTGGGCACTTGGCCCCTCTGCGCAGAGTTTCATGTCTTTTCTGCTGTCACTTCTGGATCTGGCCACTTCTTTAGTGACTGGAGCTCTCTGGCCACAGCTGCCCTCACTGGCAGGTGGCCGGGGCAGAGCTGTTCCCTTCCGAAATGCCCTCAACTGCTGGAGAAGCTGGCTTTTCCCAGTGCAGTCCCTGGAATGCAGTGAAACCGACCTCAGTCCCCACCACGCGGAGACCCAGCCCTCCAACTCGGCAGTGAAACCAGGCTCAAAGCAGGGGGCTTCATGATCTCTGACTGCAGGGATCCACCTAGACAACAGTGGAAGGACAGGTGCTGTGGCATCTCCCCCGTGGGGTGCAGCAAGACAGCCACACAGAGGTGGAGTGTTTCCCTCCTCCCCACAAGTGCCTCCCAACTAGAAAAACGTTAACCATCCGCCCTGAGTTCCATCTCCAAGTTTAGGTTTTAGCTGCTTAAACCCAACTGAGAGGTGAGTAGAACATGCAGACCACCAACTCTTGCGGGAAGAGCTGTCCAGAGGAGCGGGGAGCACGGGAGGGAACACTTAATGTCTCAAGGCTGGGCTGACACGATCACAGCCACTAACACACTTTCTGGGTGCCGACTCTGGAATCCTTCGACTGGCAGTGAAAACTTTCTCCCAGTCCCGGATGAAGACCTGAGGTTTGGTGACATGAAGCCATTTGCTAAAGGAGCAGCCTGGGTATAGACACAGATCACCTGACTCGGAGCTGCAGACCGGGAAGGAAGTGCTCAGTTCAGGGGCCATAGACAGGCCTGAGTTTGGGCAGTGAGACAAACAGGTGCTGACCTTCACCCACACGCTGACCCATGCCTCGCGCAGGGGCACCGCCAAGGGGAGGAGAGACATCTCCAGGAAAAGTGAGTTCCAAGTGTATCCTTGGGTCTCACATGCACGGTGGGAGACTGCAGCTCCTGCCCTGTGGTCTTGCTGCATATTAACCATGTCACCGGCTTCCGGCAGGGACCTGTTCACTGCTGCACCCGTTTTCTTCCTGTTCTTTTTTCCTGTCACGTCTAATCTCACAGTGCATGGGGGGAGAGCCACACAAGGCTGGACATTCCAGTGCTGCCACGGCCACAGTGGGTGATTCTCATTCGCCTCTAGGCCACAGTGAGGCCTCCTTCACTTCTCTGAATCTGACACTTTAATTCAACCAAGACTTTCCTTTCCTGGCTAACAACCACCGCTTCATTCCACTGCCACTGGGGCAGGGAGAAAGGCACATGGGGAGCCATCCTCGGGAGGTGCTGGGTGTCCTGTGATGCCCAAGGCACGGCAGGCCAGGCTGGGACAGAGGCTGGGCCCAATGGGGCTCCCACAGGTCCCAGACCCCACCCACCCTCCCAGGCAGGTCCTTAGGGTGCAGGACAGGGTCGAGAACCCAGATGGCCAGGACACCAGGGCAGCAGAGCAGGTGGAGGCCTCTGTGGTTACCTCAGGCCCCAGGAGGAAAGAGATGCCCGCGGTGCTGGGCCCTGCGGGTCTCCTAGAGCTGCTCTGTCCTCTTCCTCACACTCGTCCTCGTCCTCCTCTCCACTGTCAGAGGAGCTGTGGCTGGAGCTGGGGAGACGAAATGGGTTCTTCGCGTTCATCCTGGTGGACAGAGGACCTCAGGTCCCCCTGGGGACCTAAGGTCTGGCGTGGCGGGCAGCCAGCCAAAGTGCAGCAGGCGAAACCACTGGGCCACTGGACTTTCTGCCAAGTGACAGGGGGTAGACTCCAGCCTAGATGAAGTTTGCCCTCTGCCGAGTGGGACCGGCCACTCTCAGTCCCTAGCTTAATGCACATGTCAAATAAGCGATGTTCCAAGTCTTTCCACGTCCCTGTTTCTCCCTGTAGGTGCTGCCAAGGCCTCACGGGGCCAGCGGGGGACCTCTGCCCAGCTGAGAGTCTGCTCCAGGTGGACTGTGCTGTGTACCTTCCTGGGGACTCATCGTGGGGCTCCGGGGGTTCTGTCTGCCGCAGGTCAATGAAGATAGTAGGAGGCTCTGTCTTCGGCCTCATGCCCCCAGCTAGCTTCTGGCCCTGCACAGCCTGAGAGCCCAGCTTTACAGAAGTGCATCTGATGAGAAAAGCAGGGTGGGCCATTACCTTTTTGTGACAAGGACTTGACGGGCTTGATCAATCACAGCGCTCATGGTGGCCCTGCATGGTTACCCACCATGTATTTATTGGTAGGTACTTCAAACATCTAGTTTTCTGGGTACCGGGGATCAAACGCCAGGCCTTGCACTTGCCAGGCAGGTGGTGGCACCACTGAGCTAAATCCCAGCACACACCCCGCCTTTTCTACTGGGAATTGAACTCAGGACCTTGCAGGCACAGTGCCACTGAGCTAAATCCCTGGCCCTGGTTTTTTGAGATGAGGTCTTGCTACATAGTTTAGACTGGTCTTGAACCGCCTATGTAGCCCAGGCTGGCCTCAAAGTCATGGCGATCCTCTTGCCTCGGACTCCCAAATGCCGGGATTACAGGCGTGCGCCACCACGCTCGGCTCCAGTCCCATCCCTTTTTATTTCTTAATATGAGACAGGGTGGCTGCCATATTGATTGCACACACGTGGCTATGTCTGTTAGATACTTCTGCTCACTGGACACCCCAAAGGCAAAGCAACTGGGTCAGGACAGGAGATGCACTGGCTCCTAGGAGCAACCAAAGTGTGGGAGGGGAGAGGTGCAGCGGGGTCTCCAGCGCCCCAGGCCCCAGCTCTACTTTTGCTTCCCCCATTTCTACGCCATCGCTGCAGCCTGCCTTTCTCCATTTGGAACATCAGTGCCACAGAGGTGAGCACATCTCAGGGAAAGGCTCCGACTGGCCTGGCTGGGGACACATGCCCAGGGCTGGACCCATCAGGTGGAGTGAGGGGAAGGTACTGCTCCCAGGGAGACCAAGTGGGCAGTGGAAGGAGGTCCCCACAGGTTTGGGGCAGGTGCTTTGGGGAATCAACCCTCAGCTATGCCGTTTATAGCCTAGGAAAGGCAAATTCTCTCAGCCTCAGATTCTAGGGCTTCCTGCCTGATCCAACCCTTCAGACTAAATGAGAAAGTGGCACATCACACACAGTAGGCCCAAGCAGTACTGCCTGAGGCAGGCCAGTCTTCCGACAACAGGCCATGGCTAGCACCAAGTCTCACCTGCTTCTGGCCTCCTGTTCCTTGGTGTCTTTGGGCCTGTGAGCAGGTACCTTCTGGGCAGAGTCTGGGGCTCTCTGCTGCATGGCACACAGGAGGACCAGCTGCTCCAGAAGCCTGTCCTGGGATCGTGGCACAGTACGGTCTGGGGTTGCAGAGGAGAGGAGGCTGTTCAGTGGGGACTCGGCCCTCTTGATTTACAGCAGCTTGAGCCTCAGGATCCGAGTCTCCTCCTCTAGTGCGTGTACTTTGGGATTAACCATATCTGTCCCAACCCAGCCTTTCAGGAGGCTCAGCGGGGCCATGGGGAGCAGTATCCATGAGTAAGAACTATGCATTTGAGCCCCATAAAGTAGGGATGCCTTACCATTTTGTAATGAAACAGAATCTCGTTTCACTGCTATGCCTAGCTTCCCTGATTTTAAAGAACACTGAAACCAGCATCCTTGAATACACACCCTTACCCACTAGGGTATGTATTTAGGAGAGATTTCTCAAAGTGGAATAGTGAGAGTTGTGTATGGTGACACACACCTGTAATCCTAGTGATCAGGAAACTGAGGCAGGAAGAGTACTGTGAGTTCAAGGTCAACCTGGGCTACTTAGTTTAAGACCAGGCTGAACTATATAGTGAGATCTTGTCTCAAACCAAAAACGGGGCCAGGGGGGCCGGGTTTAGGTTTGGGCTACTTAGTTTAAGACCAGGCTGAACTATATAGTGAGATCTTGTCTCAAACCAAAAACGGGGCCAGGGGGGCCGGGGATTTAGCTCAGTGGTTCGGTGGCCTGCCTTGCAAGCGCAAGGACCCGAGTTCAATCTCTTGTACGAAATAAATAAATAAATAAATAACAGGGCCAGGGATTTAGCTCAGTGGCACCTCGCCTACCTGGCAAGTGCAAGGTCCTGAGTTAGATTCCAGGTACCAAAAGACAAAACAAAAACCAAAAACAAACAAAGTGATTCAAAATAGAATAGACTGATTAAAGAGTTATATGCCTGTACAACAGGGACGAGTGCTGAGAATGGTGGCTCACACCTGTAATCCTAGCACTCAAGAGGCTGAGGCAGGAATGTTACTGCAAGTTCAAGGCCAGCTTGGGCTGCATAGTGAGACCATGTTTCAAATGAAGGAATGAATGAGGAACTAGATTCTACCACACCGTCCTTCAGAGTGTGTCTATTATACCCACATCTGCCCACCATAAAGAAGGTCTGCTTCCCTACGGCCTGCATGAGGGGTGTGAATTACCCACAAAACTATGCTGAAAACAGCCCAGGCACTGTGGGTCTCTGCTGTGGAACTGGAGCTGGAACCCTGGAACCTGCCTTGCCCCTTGGCCGTGCTGTTATGGGCCCCAGGGAGGGGGCGGGGGAGGGCTTTCACGTTGTCCACACGGCTTCCCAGAGCCAGAGCACAAGTGCTGTGACAGAGAAGCGTCCTTAGCCCTCAGGTGAGCCAGGGGTGTGTTAAGAGCAGACTGAAGGACGGAGAGGTAGGAGTGACCTTCCTCTGAGTAACCTTCCCCAGGAAGAAAGGGAGGAAGCTCAAGAAGGGGAGGGGAGGAAAAGGTCCTGAAGCCACGACACACCTGGCACACATCAGGAGATTGTATGTATGCTGAGTGAATGCAGAGTTGCAAGGACAGGCATCACAAGGTTTAGGACAGCAAAGGACTGAGCAAGCAGAGAGAAAACACGGCCACAGGGCTGATCGTAGCCCTCTGTCACTGAGGCCCTAGAAGGAGCTACTTCGGTTCACTTGGGCTGTGGTGTTCAGAGTCAGACCTTGGCCTTGGCAGCGTTCAGCTGCCCACCACGCGGTTCTGGGTGCACAATTTCCCTGGTTGTCTTCTCGCTCTGGCAGACTCTGAAGGATGTAATCCAAATCCCACTCTTCAAGTTGCTGAAACAATGAAGCTGGTGATTATGAGGCAGCCCCAGAGTCCCAGAGGCAGGGCATCTGCTTTCACAGCTGCAACACACGTATTGTAGAATAGAAACTGGGGATCAAATGCATCCCACAAATGCACACATCCTTCCTTGTGATGATTACAGCCAAACCCTTCCTGGAAGGCAGAACCAGCACGTCTCGAGGCTTCCTTCTCATGCCTTTTTTATGTCACTACTTTTGTGCTGGGGCACAAAGATGTTGTTTGAACTGGAGGAAACCCTGTGTTGTTTTATAACTGTTCAGGTTCATACACATTTGGGATGTATGGAGCTTTAACAAATTTGGCTCTTTTAAGAAACAGGGCTGGGCGTGGTGGCGCATGTCTGTAACCCCAGCACTTGGGAGGCTGAGGCAGGAGGATCACTGAGTTTGAGACCAGCCTGAGCTACATAATGAGTTCCAGGTCAGTCTCAACTACATAGACTACATTGTCTCAAAAAAAAACAAAAGAAAAAGAAACAGATATTCCCATTCCCCAGTACCAAGAAAGAGGTATCCAAGTGGAAAGCTGGGCCAGGACGGCTTTGAAGACAGGATGTCGTAAAGGGAGGAAGAAAATTAACTGAAATGAATCCTCTTTTGGGATTCTGGAACTGGGACCCAGAGCCTTGTGTATACTAGGCAAGCATTCCACCACTGAACTATACATGTAGCCAAAATGAAAGTTTATTATACATGACCTTACTTCTTGCAGCCCTATAGATAAGGTAAAATAAAAGTTGTCAGGGACCGGGCTCTGAGTTCAATCTCTGGTACGAGAGAGAGAGAGAGAGAGAGAGAGAGAGAGAGAGAGATGAGAGAGAGAGAGAGAGAGAGAGAGAGAGAGAGAGAGAGAGAGAGAGTTCAATCTCTGGTACAGAGAGAGAGAGAGAGAGAGAGAGAGAGGAAGAAAGGCTGTGGGGGTAAACAGAAAGGAAATAGTGTAAACAGTAATGAAAAGAATGTCTGTATATTCTTTGGTACTAGTTTTCTCTATGTTAAGAGAAACTATCCAAGTCAGGCTGTAATCCCAGCACTCTGGAAGACTAAGGCAGGAGGAATTACAAGTTCAAACCCAGCCCGGCCAACTAAGCAAGGCAATGTCTCAAAGTAAAAAATTAAAAATAATACAAAAAGGGCCAGGGATTTAGCTCAGCGGTTCCGCCACCTGCCTTGCAAGTGCAAGGACCTGAGTTTGATCCCCAGTACACAAAAAATAAACAAAACAAAACAAAAAAATACAAAAAAAAATTATCTGAAGTACGCATGGCATGCTGGAGTCTCTTCCTGTAGGCCTACTGTGCAGGGAAGGTTAGCTGGTTTGTATAGCTGGCCAGGGCCTACCTAGTTTATAACCCTGTGAAACTCAGTATATGGGGGGTCTTTTCATGTTCAGTGGACAACGTAACTCCAAAGGTCACCCTTGTGTCACTCTGTAGGATACTGATCCCCTGCTCTGCACAGGGTATGGAATCATCTCTCTGGCCTTCTTGTTTTGTTTCACAAAATCCATCTCTCCTAGCCTGTCTCCCTTTTGTGGTACTGGGGATTGAACCCAGAGTCCTTCCACTGAACCACATCTCCAGCCTTTTTTAAAATTTTGAGACAAAGTCTCACTAAAGGTAAACTGCCTAAACTGGACTCTAATTTGCAATCCTCCTGCCTCAGCCTCCCAGAGTGCTGAGATTACAGGTATGCACCATCACACCTCATTTCCTAATTCCTCTAAACTGACTTTGTCACCCTGCTGGTTCCCTCATTTGCATGCTGACTCCAACTTGAACAAGTCTTCCGTTGTATGAGAATGAGGGCTTCCCCATTTGGAGAATTTCACTTTGACGGCGGCTGGCTCTTTATGTGTGGCTGTATTTAGAAACATACACTTGGAATCATCATACTTTTTGTTTTCTCTCTAAACAAGGCTAGGGTCTGCCTGCTCATGGCCTAGATCACCCACCCTCTCAGCTGGGCAGGCTGCCTGTGGTTGGTGGACTGAGGACTCAAGCTGGCCTGAGGTGAGCGAGCTGGTTCTAGCCTTAGCATGCTGGGAGGGCAGCTGTGCTGCAGGGGACAGGTCTGAGGGAGGGCTGGGCAGTGGAGACACCTACCTGGAGCGAGAGTACTGGCTGGCCTTCCCCAGGCCCCTTCAAGTGTGCTGCTAGCCTGGGACCGGACTCCGCGGCCTGGGCTTGGTCCCCGCAGGCGGGGTTCCGGGCATCCCAGGTTACTTTCTGGAGCACGTCATTCTCTATCATCCTCCTCCTCTCCTGGCGGAGGGCTCTGCGCTTGGCACAATCTTGCCAGGCAGAGCCCAGGGGCTCTGTATCCGGCTGTCCTGCAGGGGCAAGAGTAGCTTCTCCCTGCAGACCCCAGGGAGGATTCTGGAACCCTTTGGTGTTGAAGGACAGGCTCCCAAGGTCACCTTCCCTCCATGCAGGGGTCTCCTCAGCTATCTCAGGAAGAGAATGGATCTTAGCAAAGCTCTTGAGCAGCGGGCCAGGGCTCCTTCCTTCCAGAGAGGTCCATTCCTTTATCCTTGAGTTCTGTTCACTCCCAGGTTCTGCAGCAAGTCCCACAGGCACCACGGCGGGCTGCTGAGAAAACATATGTCCTCTGCTAGCATCCACAAAAACATACCTCAGGGCCAGGGATTTAGCTCAGTGGCACCATGCCTGCCTTGCAAGTGCAAGCTCCTGAATTTAATCCCCAGTGTAAGGGGGTGGGGTGAGGACCCTTAGGGAATTGTTTTTTCATGGCAAAATATGTATACTACATACAACTTCCCATTTTAACCACTTTAAATATACAGCAAAAACGCTCTTATTTGATTAAACAAAAATAAGCTGCATAGGAGCAATTTTAAAGTCCAAAGAGACAGCATCTTTGTTTTAATGCTGTAGTAGCTGATACAGCATCTCCTCACTAGCTTCTCCAGCCGTCTCTGTGGACCACAGCGATACATTCAGAAGCCTGTTATCTAACACAAGAGTTTTGAACACTTTTCTATTGGTTCTTCACCAGCTCACGCCCTGTCATGCCTGCAACCTACTTTTTTTTTTTTTTTGGTACCCAGGATCGAACTTGAGACCCTGCACTTGCCAGGCCAGCGGTGGAACCACTGAGCTAAATCCCTGGCCCTGCAGCTTACATTATTAACATTTACGATTTAAAGGCAATAACCAAGAGTGGAAATACATAACACAAACCAAAAAAACCCCATTTTTACCTAAAGTAAAATCTACTTCCCCGCCCATGCACCAAAATGATGGGATGGGATTCATACTACCAAGGCAGTGCCCATGTAAAACACGGTGTGAGGCAGCACGGCTTCTGCTGGATCCATCAACAGTACTCCTCCTGCACGATTTTTTTTTTTAAATGCCCAGAAGAGTTGCCAAAGTAACTCTAGAGATGACAATTTCTCCTGTCTGGGGTTATTTCAGACTGCATGGCTAACGTGTGTTTTGGGTCACATGATTTGGTTAAGTGAGCGTGCACCCCATCCACCTGGTTAATGACACTGGGCAGAATTGAGCTGAGGGTCAACTCTGGTGCTTCTGAGGCTGTTCAGCCCTCTTCCCCGACCCCACTATTTTGGAAGCCAGGGCATTTACAGTGTTTTCATTGGAAATGGGACATTTAACCACAAGCACATCAAAGCTGACCAGTAGGGGCTGCTGGATGGATTCTATTTATAAAGGAAACAATTAATGTTCAGCATCAAGACATTAAGTTTATATAGTTCTTGGTCTTACCTGGGGTCCTGGGAAGTGGGAAGACAGATAAAGTGGATCTGATGTTGGCAATTACTGTGACTAAGAGCCTTGAGAGTGCACTGTGGCCTTTCCTAATTGTGTCCAGAGTGGCACAGGGATTAATGGAGGACCTTCTGCCCTCTGGAGCCTTTCACAGTTGAACAAGTGTTTAGGAAGCTTCTCCTTACTTGCAAGGCTCTGTGCCAGGTGGCTATGAAGTCAGGCAGACTATGGAGAGACATCTGACAGGCAGCTGTGACAATGGCCAGACAGTGTGGTGTTTGGATAGAAAACAGGAAAGGAGGGGACTAGAGGAAGAGCAGAGGAGGGCAAAATCAGAGAGGAGCAAGTGCACTGGGTGTCTTAGGGAGAGGAGACGCGCGTGCTTAGCGGTTGGGTGCCTGAATACTTTGGTTTGTTCGTGAAGGTGGAAGGACTAAGTGTAGCGGATGCTAGATCTGAGGTTTTAGGCACTGTAGACCCTACTGATGTTTAGAGTTCTGAGAGCTGTGGACAGACGCACTTCTGCCAGCAAGGTGCCAGGCTTCCTGGGTTCCCTTAGCCTATGTCCCACAGACCTCGGGCAGAGGTCTTTCAGCTCCAGGGACCCAGGTCCCAGATTTGTCACTACCAGCAGGGCCTTCGGTCAGCTCCTCAGCCAGGTCTGGAATCAGGACAGGTTGGTTGCGCTGGAAGATGAATGGTTCCCCTTCGCCAAAGTCCGGCTGTGGGCAGACAAGGGGGCTTTGGGTGACATGGCAGCACCTGTGCCCCCCACTCCTGCTATCCAGGGGCATCGAGAGAGATCCCTGTCCCCTGCTGCTTCCTGCCACTGATTCAGACATGAGCTTGGCGATGCCACCTCATGGGAGTGAGATCCAGGGCTCCCAGTTCTCTAAGTGCCTGCCACACCCCAGACCTCACACACAGCAGGAGCTGCATTAATGCCTGGTGCTGAATAACAGTGTTCAAAGGTGGGGAGGGGTGGCTGAGGAGGTGGCGGTGTGTGTGGGGGGGGGGCTGGCTGAGGGGATAGTCTAGCCCCATCCCCAGCTTGAGCCACCACCTAAGTGGAGCCTTGGTGTGCTGTCTCCAAAGGATGGAGTCTTATATTCGCCCTCCACCTACAGGGACATCAGAATACATGGAAATGCTCTGTACACTGAGGCAGTGGGATTGCCTTATCTTGCTTGACCTTGCTGTGCCTAGATAAGCCCTGAGCACCTGAAAGCTTTTGTCATGTTCATATTCGCCCAGGTATAACCCCAACCTGGCCCCTTCTAAAACCCTTGCCTTTGCTGTAAGGGCCCAGTGCCAGCCCGTGTGCTCAGAGCGCCTGCCAGTGCACTGTCCCATAGGGTGGGGTATCACCGCCCATAGGCACATGGACATAGGGTTACTGGTGTCAAGCACCCTCAAGGGCCACCTCAGGTGACCCAAACTAAACTGCAGAAACCCTCCAGGGGTTTATCATAATGCACTGGACTGGTCACCACTCCAAGTGGTGACTTCATCTTGTCAAGAACAGCACAGCAGGGCTGGGGTGTAGCTCTGTGGTAGATAGAAAAAAAAAAAATCCAAGAATTTAGCAGCAGAGCTGCTTACAGGTGGGGCCCAGAACCACCACTGAAATGGTGGATGCTGAGCACTAACACATGTATTCAGAGTTACTGACAAATGCAGAAGGCAAGATAAAGAAGGAAATGGGAATTAGAGAACACCTGTAAGGCCAGAAGATTGACAGTAAAGGGAAAACAAATTCCATGGAGAGGAGGGAGGTCTACAGAGAGGAGTGCTCCAAAGCTGTCCTTGGCTGGCATTGTGCACATCATGGGAAGAAAGGTGCTTAGGAGAAAGCTCTGGCTCACCAAGGAAGAGTCAGAGTCGGAGTCCAGGGATGGGAGCTGGTCTTTGGCAGCCTGGAGGATGGCGTCCCAGGGGGAGCCCAGTGAGGGCACTACATCTTTGTCTTTGGATGCCATGGGAACCCAGGCTCATGGGATGCTCTCTTGGTGCACAATCATCTGAGGAGCCCTGCAGAGCACACAGAGTGAGGAAGAAGGGGCCAGGCAGCCAAAGTCAACAGATCAGGGGCTGCCTTTCCAAAGCCTCAACCACTGCAGGATATGAAAACGGACTCAGATGGCCACCTCCCACCTGTTTCCTTCAGGTTCTGCAAGCTGCTGTTACTGGTACCAGGACTGTGTGTGTGTGTGTGTGTGTGTGCATGTGCAATGTACACATATGTGTTTGTGCACCTGTGTGTACTATGTGGAGCCTGAAGAAACATCATCTGTGTATGAAAACAGAATATACATGTTATGTAGATATATGTACTTGCTATGCAGACTGACAGATGTGTAATACCCAATTCATATATGTGTTATATAATGGCATGTAGGTATATATTATATATCCTATGAAACATAGATATCATTGTTATAGACAGCTAAGTTAATTTCATGTGTTGTAGGAAATCAAGACAGGACCAGGCCCCTGAGGGAGTCAATACAGAAGACAATCCAGGCCCATTTACTTAAGGCCAGGATCAAAGAAGAGGAACAACTGCACCTATATACTTCCCCGAGAGATGAACAGCGGTAACTGGTATTCTAAATAGGAATCAATCAGCTGGGTGGGGGACCAGGAACTTACCACCCCTTCCTGGAAATCCTTGCTCCTTCTATACATGCTTGCTATATGACTTGTTTCCCCATCTGATCCCTATTTAATCAGTATTTCCTAAGCGACTGTACTTGTAATCTTACTGGTTGATCACAGTTTTGTCCTACCTCATACCCACCTTGTGATTTTCCACTGGATCTTATTAATTGACTATAGTCCCATTTTTTACCCACCTCACCTCAGGCTTTGCTCCATAAAAAACCCCTAAAAAGCTGGTCCCAGGCCACCCACTTTCCGGGTGTCCCCTCCTGTCCCTCAGATAGGAGCTGTCTTTCTCTCAATAAATTCTTCCTACTTTTAACCTCTATTTTTCCTAGAATTCATTCTTTGATTTTAGAGAACATGAATTCAGCATTTCAGATAACTAGCAGATTGGGAGTTAAAATATTTCCCTTACATAATTTGGATTATTTGAAGGTCCTATTTCATACGCTCTGTATCACTACTGTGTCCATTTCCCAGGCCTAGAGAGGTTTATAAATGATGAAAAGAATTTGAGTCAAATTGGTAATGTGAAGCCCTATTACTTTTTTGTTTTTTAATGGGACTTGAAGTGGAACCCAGGGCCTCACGCACGAATCACTGAACTATACTCCCAGCCCAAGCCTCATGACAAAGCAATAGACTAAAGCAATTTTGGAGTCTCCAAGAGATTTTGTACGGAGTTGCCACTCAGATCAGTCCCCAACCTTTTGTATCCTACAGTCTAAAAAGACCGCTGAGCCCTGGGAGACAGAGGAAGAGGGCTTTAGGAATGTGGGGCAGAGGTCTGGAGAACCCTGTGGCTAAAAGGCCACTGTGTTTGAGAAGGTTGGCAGTTGGCAGGAGACAAGAGCGGGGGTCTCTCGCCTCTTCCATGCTTCTGTGAGTTTAAGCTGTTGCTTAGTGCGTTCTGAGCTGGAGCAGCAGGACCCCGGGAGTGTATTGGAGCCGGGGCTCGGCCCGCAAATTCAGGGGGCACAGTACTATATATCTCGGGGCAACTAAATCACCGAGGTGAGAGGGGGTCGCCGGAGACTGACGGGAGGAAAGACATAACCAGCATGTGCTGTAGCTCAGCAGTAGGTAATGCCCAAAATGTTCGGCGAAACTGCTGTGAAACTGTGTCGATATCAAGCAGAAGCAATGGCTCCGCTTCCCTTCCAAGTCCCACCCAGATCTCCGCCAGCCCTGCAGCCCGTTAACCCCGCCCAAACCGCCGAGAGGCTCAGGTTGCCAAGGCAACTAGACGCCACCGGCCCTCCGGTCCAGCCTTTGAATTACAGCGCTAGGAAAGAGGAATATTATCCCTTATGCCCCTCAAGTCCATCTCCGTGGTAGTACTGGCCCGCCGCCACTCGCCTGGGTCAGCGTCGGCCTCTGCCTGCTCTCCCTCGGTCCTGACCCGGCTGATAGACTCCACACAGCCAGCGGTCTCTTTAGTCCCCGGAGCCCGCCCTTCAACGCTCTCCCCAGCGTCTTCCGAGATGGGAGCGGCCGCCTATCTGCGTCAGGATTGGCTCTCCCGCCCACTGGGGGCGTCTCTGGAGTAGCTTCCCGCTCATTGGTTTCTGAAGGTGTCAGCGGCCAGCTGGGCGAACTGACTGGAAGACTCCGGCGCCCTACGGTCCAGTTCCATCTCGTCTGTAGCCTCCCGGTGTGCTCCGCGCGCTACTGCAGCTTACTTCCGGGGAGGGCCGACCCGCGGGCCTAGCACTGTGGTCGCGGTCCGCAGAGGTGCGGGGGTCCTAAGGCTGAGGCCGGCTCAGGTAGGCCTGAGGCATGCCGGCCCTGCCTGGTGTCGGCACCTGCTGCCCCTGTGGTGCTGCACTGGCAGGGTGGGGACTGTGAGGCTGCTCTAGGGTGCTACCCGGGAAGTCGCAGGGGCAGCCCCGGACTTGACGGGGCTTCCCTCGTGGGCGCGATCGCCACCAGCATTATTTGTGTTTAGTTACACTTTTCTACTTTAAAGGTAACAGATGTTTAGCATTTTATGAGATGGACAGGACTGAAAGGGAGAGTGAAAATTAAAAGGTCCCGGACTGTAGATGTGGCGCAGTGGCAGAGCGCTTGCCTAGCGTGCACGAGGCCCTGGATTCCACCCTCAAGTCCGAAGGAAAAAAATTAAAAGGTCCTGTTCTCTAGTGCTACTTCCTAAAGTTCTAGAAGAGAGGTGCAGACGACACTATCTAGGCGTGTACAATTATGCGCACGAATGTTTTCTGTATTGCTGAGGAACGTTTGTCATATGCCACCGTGATAAATTGTAGATTTGTGGTCTCGTGGCATGTGTGTTCTCTCCCTGTAGTTTTCTGGACGTTGGTTTTGTTTCTTGTCGTCAGTCAGTGTTCGATACTTTAGGGATGTCAGATGTGAGTGTCCTATAAATGGAGAGAGAAAAGGCTTTTGAAGTAGAAAAAACACTTAGAAGAAGGCTGGAGGAGCTGTTGGAAGCTTATCTGGATGCTTATCAAGGCTCTGTTGACCAGCACTGTTCAGGGTAAGGATTCTCACCTGCAGAGTGAGGGTGCTGCTTGATCTCAGACCGGCAGGTATGGAGAGAACCACCAGGAGGTGCTAACAGGTGGTTTGCAGGGTTTATTACTTGTTGCCTTGTCACACCTGCCCTATCTAACCAACAGCTGCAAAGTCCAGGTTGGGGGCTGACTTGTTTGGCCGTCTTGGCTGTCACCAGCACTTGGAAGTACTCTTTAGTAGAAATTGAGGTCCTTAGAGACTCCATGAGCTGTCACTGTTTCTTCAGGCCATCTGAACGTGATGTGGACTTTTTTTTCTTTTCTCCCTCTTTTACCCTTGCTTTGTTACTCCCAAATTCAAGATTCTACTAAGAATTCAATGAGTTGGCCTTCGGTCAGGTGTAAGCCCCAGAAAAAAGCACTCATAATCACAGACTTATCATCCTGGTGTGTCTTTACAGGTGTCACATCTTGAGGACCTTCTCTACCCATTGGTTTACCAGCCTGTCACATTTCCCCTCTTTTTCACTTTCAGAGGATGCATAGGTAGATTCTTGCTCAAATAATATTTTGTGCGCATCACAGATAACATCCTAGAATTGAACTCAGGACCTTCCACTTGCCAGGGAGGAATGGTGCTGCTGAGCTACATCCCTGGCAAAAATAATTTATATTTAATATTTACTTACCAGTAAAATTCATTTTGGGCTTCAGATCTATGAGGGTTTTTTTTGGGGGGGGTTGTTTTTTTGGTACCAGGGATCAAACTCATGACCTTGTGCTTGTGAGGCAGGCACGATGCCACTGCACTGAATCCCTGGCCCCTGGCCTGTGAATTTTGACAAATACATAAAGTCGTATATCCACCATCATAGTTAAGGTACAGAATAGATCCATTGCCCCTCAAATTCTCTCTCGCTCTTGCTTTGGGACCCCCCCGTCCTTTTTGGTACTACTGACCTGGCCTCCAACTTCTGTTTTGTCTTTCCCAGAATGTCCTGTAAATGAGTTATAGAATAGGCAACCTTTAGAGAGGCTTCTTTCATTCAGCATGATAGATCTGAGATCTGTAGGAGTAGGATCAGCCGTTTCATTCCCTGGAACAGCCAGGAAGAAGACCTAACCCTTGGGCCTTCCTCCACAGCCATGTCTGAGCTCAGCGATGAAGCCAGTGAGCCGGAGCTCCTGAACTGCAGTTTGTCCATGTGGCACGGGCTGGGGACGCAGGTCAGCCGGGAGGAGCTGGATGTACCCCTGGATCTTCACACAGCGGCTTCCATTGGCCAGTATGAGGTGGTGAAGGAATGTGTGCAGCGGTAAGAGGTCCTGGGGAGCGTCCCTTTGCCTCACATTTTTAATAACATCTCAATGGCTTCAGAGCCCGTGAGATGCACCTTGAACATAGTCATAGACATCTGATACCCATGGGATGGGAAGTTCTGCTGGTTGGGCCCATGATCAGTGTTGGCTTATGTTGGCAGTAACAAAGAAGGCAGTTTTGCTGGCTGTAGTGGCACATGCCTGTACCCAGCTACTCTGGAGACTGAGGCAGGAGGGTCTCAAGTTCCAGCCCATATGGGCTACATAGTAAAAAGGTGGGGATGTCAGTCAGTGACAGCACTTACCTAATATGTGCAAAGTCCTGAGTACAATCTGTAGTCCAAGAAAAATAAAAAAAGAAACAACAAACAAACTTGGATTGCAAGGCAGAAAAAGATGGCTTAACCTTTTCCCCTCAGTTCTGGGAATGGTACCCAGGGCCTTATACATGCTAGACTAGCACTGTACCGCTGAGTTACATCTCCAGGCCCTAGATAATTTAAACTTCATTGTCGGCTGTCTTTTAATCATTGGCTTATAAACATTAATTCATACTTTTACCAGTGTAGTTTAGGGATTCACTAACTGCAAAACCTGTTCCCCCCAAAAAACAAAAATGAAGATAGAAACCAGTGCCCTCTGGCATTCTTTGCCCAGACAGTTCATTTTTATCCCTTGGGGCAGCCTCTCCTCTCTTAACTTCTGCACGGAAGAGAGGGGCTAGATTTTTGGCTGTCCTCGGAGGGTGACCTGACCTCATGGTCCACCTGCCAGCGTTACTAACCTGCATAGTGTTATTTAGTCCCAATACCACAAAAAGCCACGGCAGGGCCCAAGGCTGTTTTACTTATAGTATAGTGTGATTTTTACAGTAATTTGGGGGGAAGAATTTGTGTCCAGCCCCTTGTGTGTCACCATACTCTACATTTACTCTCCTTGCCACTTCGCATCTGGTAACCTGGTGACGTGATGTTTGTCTGCATCTCTGATGCCTTCTCTAGTTCCTGGTGAGCCACAGCAAAGCCTCATCGAAGCACCAGGTCTCCAGTTTCCAAGTGGCTGCCATCACTCATAGATCCCTAGCCGAGGCAGTACCAGTATCCAGGGCAGTCCGTAGTCCTCCTTTACCCGGAGGCTTAGGGATGTCCCACTGGCTGTGCCATCCCATGTCTCCTCGAAGAGTCACCGAGACCCCTGTTATAATTCTCTTCTGGACCTGAGGCTCTGGTCTTTGGCCTGTGAAACATGTAGCCCAGAATGGCTCCGCAGAGAAGGGGAACAGGTTTGTGCTCCGCCTGGGATTCGACCCTAGCTGAGAAGGAGCAGGCTCCTCCTCGTCCTCGTGGAATGGCTGCTCATCAAGGATAGAAGTGTAAAGGTGGCGGATGGGGTCGTTGAAGCCGTCTGCAGAGGCCCCTCCGTGTGCCCCTGGGCAGGGCTCCTGCTGCAGTCCTGTGAGCAGGACCTTTCAGGATGGCTGCCTGGGGTGCATCCCAGAGTGTGCGAGATGCTAGTAAATGACAAGTAATTGCCTGGTGTAGCTTAGTGTGTGGATGCTATGAGAGGCACAAGTCGTGTGGACAGATTGTTGTTCCTGCCACTGGCAGAGGAATTGTAGAAGGGGAAAGGTCAGTGGGGCCTTCACTGTGCCACTGCTCCTGGGAGTAGGTGCGACCTTTTTTGTTTCTTTTTTTTTTTTTTTTTTTTTTTTTTTTTTGGTACCAGGGATTGAACTCAGGACCTTGTGTTTTCAAAACAAGCGGCGGAACCACTGAGCTAAATCCCCGGCCTGAGTGGGTATTGTCTTAAAATGGGACTCCCATACCCCAATTCCAAAATCTGAGCCAGGAAGCCCACATTTTTTTCCTGTTGGAAAATGCATTTCCACAATTGTAATGGAAATCAGTGAAAACGGGATTCTCTGGTCACACATTTTTCAAGAATGATTCCATAGTGTGGTAACAAAGTCAGTGGCCGTGGTTCTTGTCCAAAGTCTGGGTCCCTTTCTCCTTCCTTTGTTGTAGTCCCTCTGCAGCCAGCTCTCAGCCTCGGCTCTGCTGACAGACCAGGCCAGCTCAGTCTTTACCGAGGTGCATCTTGTAAACTGTGTGTTCACAGTCTCCCACCTCCACCTGCATCGTGCCAGCTGCCCAGTCACGATAACCAAAAATGACCCCAGACCTTGCTGAGTGTCCTCTGGTTGAGCAACGTGTATCTTGCTGTTAGTAGGAAAGAAAGGAACTGATGGTCGAGGCTAGGGGGAGGGGCAGCTGAGAATATGACGTCAGAGAAGGGAGACAAGGGCTTTTTAAAGGTGGGTGTCTAAGCAAGTGGAAACATTCCCTACCTGCCTGGCCCCGACCCTGGGGACGTCTGGAATGGCAGCTCCTCCAGCCTGGCCTGGCCTTGCTGACAGCTCTGGTGAACCCCATGAGAGACAGTGGGGCGCGTCTAGCGATTCTTGCGTTTGTTTAGGAGAGAGTTAGATTTGAATAAGAAGAACGGTGGTGGCTGGACCCCGCTGATGTATGCCTCCTACATTGGACACGATACCATCGTTCACCTGCTGCTCGAGGCAGGGGTGAGTGTGAATGTGCCGACCCCGGAAGGGCAGACTCCACTGATGCTGGCCTCCAGCTGTGGCAACGAGAGCATCGCCTACTTTCTCCTCCAGGTGAGCTACGAGGGGGCAAAGGCCCAGCAACCCGAGGGGCTCCCTGGCTGCCCTGACAGGACGTGAGGCGCTGCAGGCCAGGGTGTGTGCGTGAGCACATCAGCACTTCCGGTTCTTTCAGCTGAGGGCACTGCCTGCCCATCTGCTCCCACGGGAGAGTTGGTCTGTAACCTGTGCTTTGTGCTCTCTTGAAGCAAGGTGCGGAGCTGGAGATGAAAGACATTCAAGGCTGGACTGCGCTGTTCCACTGCACCAGTGCTGGGCACCAGCAGATGGTCAGATTCCTCCTGGACAGTGGGGCGAACGCCAACGTGAGGTGATTGCCACAGGAGTGGGCTAGGTGTTGTCTGACCAGGTAGGATGGCTGTAGAAGCCACTAGCCAGAGGTCAGTACCACCCCGCCTTGGTATGACAGGTGAAGATGAGGGAGGGGATGGACAGGCCCACCTGGCTGTGAAACCGTCTGCCCTCCTGTCAGGATACCCACTCCGTCTTTCTAGGGCTCTGAGCTTCATTTTCTTTATCTGAAAATGGGATAGCAAGACCTGTGTCAGTGAGTGTTTGGAAGAATGATACGTTATAGCCAGACATGGTAGCACACGCCTGTAGTCCCAGCTCTCTAGGAGGCTAAGGCAGGAGGATCACACATTTGAGCCCAACCTGGACAACCCTGTCTTAAAAGAATTTTTTTTTTTGGTACCAGGGGTCAAACTTGGGTCCTTGCACTTGTGAGGCAGGCGCTGGAACCACTGAGCTAAATCCCCTGCCTTAAAATAATTTTATATTTATATATTTTGCGGGGGCGGGGGTTGAGACAGGGTCTCACTATGTAGTTGAGACTGACCTGGAACTCACTACTTAGCCCAGGCTGGTCTGGAACTCACAGCAATCCTCCTGCCTCAGCCTCCCGAGTTCTGGGATTACAGGCGTGCACCACCAGGCCAGTTTAAAAGAATTTTTTAAAGAGGAGGGGGAAGAGTCGGTCAGTGCGAAGACCCTGGCTTCAATTGTCAGTACTGCAAAAAAAAAGAGAGAGAATTACAGTGGTACCTCACAAACTTAGTTTGTTCCACAATTAAGAAAAAAAATGGCCACATTTATATTTGTCACCCGATGCAGAGTTTGCAAACAAAAGCAAAATTTTGCCAAACGCTCTTCACAACAGTGTCAAACTCAGAAGATGGGATTTGTGTAGATGAATAGGACACATTAGCTCTCTGTGAGAAAGGAAGAGTAGGAGCTGCTTTTGAGCATGGTTCAAGGGGGAATTTAGGAAAAGCAGGTGGGAACAGCCTTGAAGGAGGGGAGGAGGCCCTCTCCGTCTTTAGGCCAGGAAGCGAGCCCTGGGCGTGACCCCAGAGGAGAGCGAGCAAGCACGAAAGTGTGCACAGGCGTGAGCGTACACTGTACTCCATGCTTAGGGTTCGGTGTGGTTTGTCTTGGGCGGGGCTGCTGCACGGCAGGGCTTGTCTCTAATCACCTGACCGGCCTGTCTTGCAGGGAGCCTATATATGGGTTTACACCGCTGATGGAAGCTGCCGCTGCTGGCCATGAGATAATCGTGCAGTATTTTCTGAATCATGTAAGTGACCCTGTTGATTAGCTTAAAATGTGGTCACAGCGAATGGGGTACCATGTCACTGAGGTGTGAACTGTGACAGAATTTTCTTTCACACATTCTTACACGTCTGTTCTTCATTCGTTTACTCAGTACATTTTCTTTGAAAGTCTATTGATGGCATGTGTTGTGGCTCCTGGGCACTAGGGGTACCCTGGTGAGTACAGCGTGACCTGTGATGATCTTGAAAATATTCTTTAAAAATTCCCAGGCACAGCAGTTCACCCCCCTGTAATCCCAGAGTGGAGGGGGCAGGTGTTGTTGAGGAAGGTAACCAGTTCAAGGCTAGCCTGGGTGACTTTGTGAAATTTTTGTCTCGAAAGTAAAAAGGGCTGGGGATATAGCTCAGTACTCCCAGAGTTCAGTCCCAGTACTGCAAATGACTAAGTAAAAAGACAGACCGTATCAAGTGTTGGTGAGGAGGTAGAGAAATTGGGACCCTCATACACAGCTGATGGGGATGTAAAATGGCCCCCTCTTCAGAAAACAGTCTGGAGATTTCTCAGACAGGGACACCTAGAGTTGCCATAGGGTGTATCGTTTCTTTTCTTTCTTTTTGGTACTGGGGATCAAACTCCGGTCCTTGTGCTTGTGAGGCAGGCGGTAGAACGAACCACTGAGCTAAATCCCTGGCCCCCCCCCTTTTTTTTTTTTGAGACAGGTTCTCACTATGTAATTGAGACTGACCTGGAACTCACTGCCATGTAGCCCAGGCTGCTCTCGAACTCACAGTGATCCTCCTGCTTCAGCCTCCCGAGTGCTGGGATTACAGGTGTGCGCCACCACGCCCAGTTTACGGTGTATCATTTCTACAAGACTCAAAGACCTGAGTCCTCACAGAATCTTGCATGTGAATGTTCATAGCAGTAGTATTTATAATAGCTGAAAAGTGGAAACCACCTAGGAGTTTTGTAATCTATTTTCTTTTTTCTTAGTGATGTTTTGTGCATGGCTGTGCAGTTGCTGCACCTGCTCTTACATACACACACTTTCTGGTGTGAATAGGCAGGAAGGAGGAGCTTGACTATTTGCTATGATTCAGTTCACTCAGCTCCTATTTATTGTAGGTTCTTTCTGGCTCTCATTATGCTGAATGCTGCAGTGAAAATCCTAAATGTTTTATGTACGTCCTTAATTATTCCCTCAAGCTGATTCCTAGAAATGCAATTGGGTTAGGGGGTTTGACATATTTAATGTTCTAAATTCAAGTTCCTGCCGATTCACCCTCTAGAGACTTGGGAGAGTGCTTGCCACTGTCGGATGTGATGTGTATGGCTGCAGCTTTTAAAGTTAAAAACCTTATTGGGCTTTTCCACTTTCAAAAGTAAACAGGCTCATGCTATTATCTTTAGAAGATACAGAAGGTCAGAAAGACTGGGGAAAATGCCCATCATTTTATTGCTTAAAAATACTGTTAGCGTTTTGGGCATGTTTCATTCCGGTATTGCCTTCTGTGTGTGTGCATCCCACCATCACCCCTGTCCTGGGAATTGAGCCCGTAGGCTCTGCACCGAGCTACATACCTAGCCCATTTTTATTTTTTATTTTTTTGAGACAGGGTGTCACTAAATCAATAAGTTGCCGAGGCTGGGCTTGAACTTGGGATTCTTCTGCCTCAGCCTTCCAGAGGGCTCGGATTACAGGTGTGCACCACTAAGCCTGGCTTCTGTGCACTTCTTGTTTCGTCCTGTTTGGCTGCGATTATGATTTATATTCTGTAGTTTGTTTTCCTTTTAAATCATTATCCCTTTTCAGCTTGGCTATACAACTGTGAATGTCAACACTTAGGTCGGTAGTGTGGCTGTCTGTCTGTCCACAGGACGTTTGTATCTTCTCTACGTTCCTGTCGCAGATATGCTGTGCTAAGCATCTGTGTGCATGAAAGCTTCGTCTGTATTTAGGGTTTTTCCTTAGCATAGGTTCTGCAGATGTGGAATTGTGCTTAAAGACTAAATGCGTTTTAGAGCTTTGGATACAAGGTGGCATCTTCATTCTGAGGGTGGTCTCAGAGCTGCCTCTCTGGCGAGTGAGCCAGCAACATCCCTGTGCAGAGGAGGGAGCCAGGCACACCTGGGTGTGGAGGTGGAAAAGGGTCTCCCTTGTGTCGCAAGACCCCACGCCTGGCAGGGAGCATCTGTCCAGACAGTTGCTCAGGCTTGGTGACTGCTTCTGGTCACCTGGCTGCAGAGCCCATCCCGTCATTAAGAACAGGGTTAGAACAAAACTCTGTCCAGCAGGCCTGCACTGCTTTCTCCCTGCAATGTGATGATTCCACCTTGGGGAAAGCCTGCTCTCTTCCCAGGCCGGCTGCCCAGGGAGCCCCAGGGCTGTGGAAGAGGAGCTTCCTAACTCTTCTTTCGTGGACCTACACAGGGAGTCAAAGTAGACACGAGAGACCACAGTGGAGCTACAGCCAGGATGCTGGCTAAGCAGTACGGACACATGAAGATTGTGGCGCTGATAGACACACACTCACCTGCTCTGCCCAGGAACCTCTACCGGAACCCAGGTAACCTGTCTGCCATTGCCTTCTGGTGCAGTTGGGTTGCCCTGGCATTAGGGGCATCTAAAACAAAAGATGGCTGCCCTCCCAGATGGCCAGTGCTCATCTGAGATTAGGCTCTGTGTCCCTGCTGGGAGGCCGTGGTCTGAGATAGTCAGATACTTGCTCTGGAGATGAGTCCTGACCAGCCTGGACATGCACCCAGCATGCAGGTGTGGAGCTCCAGGAAGTGTCGCAAAGGCATCTCTCTGGTTCAGCTGTGCTAGAATTCATGATCCGCCTGACTCAGCCTTCCAGAGCGCAGAGATTACAGACCTGTATCACTACACCTGGCATGGTTTTTACTTTTTGACTTGGCCACGGTTGTTTGGTGCCCTAGGTTTTAATTTTTTTTTTATAGTCAAATGTATTCATGTTTATTGTCCCTGGCCTCATAGAAAATCTTTTCTAGACCCTGGTTGTGTAAGAATTCACCCTTGTTTTTTTTTTTTTCAAGTATTTGTATGGGTTCATTTTTTATATTTAGATCTCTGATCTACTTCTGCTTTTTTTAAAATGTGATGTGAGATATGGATCCAATTTTATCTTTTTCCAAATGTTACGTTTGTCCCAGCATCATCTTTGTAGAAGTACTGCTTTCACCTGGGACTGAAGGCGCGCCATCTTCCTTGTACACTGGGTCTTTTCCCATTTTACTTGGGCCTTTTCCTTCACTCTGTTGGTGTCTCTGTGTACCAAAACCATGCTGATCAAAAGCTTTTTGTTGTAGATTTCACTTTTGAGTAGTGCTGATCCCCTCACAATTTTCAGTATTTCCCCTGTGGTTGCTTGTTTTATTTTCTTTATAAACTGGAGTATCAGCTTTTCTGGCTCCTTAAGAACAGAGCGTTGGAGGGCTGGGGATTTAGCTCAGTGGTTCCACTGCCTGCCTCACAAGTGCAAGGTCCCGAGTTTGATCCCCGGTACTGAAAAAAAAAAGAATGAGAGTCTTGCTGGCGTGTTCATTGAGAGTGTAGTAAATGCATAATGTTGCTGTCCTCAGTTGCAGAGTGGTCCCACCCAAGAGGGAGGGAAGTGTTTTTGTTCCATTGTACTTTGGGATTTGCAGGAAAGTCACATATTTCCTCCCATACCTTTTGCTTGTGACCTGTTTACTCTGAAGTATTTGATCATCTTTGTTGCTATTGTAAATGAGATTTTCTCTATATTATATGTATTTTTTTTTCCTTTTATCTGTACCCGAGAGTTTAACTCAGGGCCTTACCAAGCACTCTGCCACTGATAAACATCCCCACTCCTTTAAAAAATTTATTTTTTTGCAATACCAGGAATTACACCCAGGGCCTCTGCACTGAGCTACATCTCCAGCCCGTTTTATATTTTTTATTCTGAGATAAGGTCTCCCTATTGCCCAAACTGTGCTAGAATTTGAGATCCTTCTGACTCAGCCCCGAGTGCCCTGGATTACAGGTGGGTGCCACCATGCCCGGCTACTTTTTTTTTTATTTTTTATTTTTTTTGGTTTTTTGAGACAGGGTCTCACTGTGTAGTTGAGACTGATCTGGAACTCACTGTGTAGCCCAGGCTGGTCTCGAATTTACAGAGATCCTCCTTCCTCAGCCTCCCGAGTGCTGGGATTACAGGCATGCGCTACCACGCCTGCCTACTTTATTCTTGAGATCTTGAGATTCTTTATTAAGTTACTCAGAGTGGGCTTCAGTTTGGGGTCTCCTGCCTCAGCCTCCCAAGCAGCTGGGATTACAGGTGTCTTGTCACCATGCCTGCTTTACCATTATATTCTTTAATTGTTTATTGTCATTGAGTATGAAGGAAGTTGATTGCTGTATAGTAATACAGTAAAGCCATCCTCTGCTCTTGCTGATTTTTTTTGTTTGTTTGTTTTTTGAGTCACGGTTTCACTTTGTAGTTCAGGCTGGCCCAGAGATCACTGTGTAACCCAGGCGACCCTCAAACTCACAGCGATCCTCCTGCCTCTGCCTCTGGAGTGCTGGGATTACAGGCGTGTACCACCACACCCACCTTGCTGAATTCTTTATTGTTTTAGGTAATTTCATTATTGATTCTAGAGCTTTCCAGGTGTATCACCATATAATCTGCAAGTCAAGATGACTCACTACTTCTGACATTTGTGCCTTACTTCCTTATTTAGTTGCTAACCTCTCTGGTGCAGCGTTAAAACACAGTGGAAATAGTGCATGTGCACCTTAGCCTGGTGCTGATCCAAGTGGAAATGCTGGGTTGAATAAAGGCTATCATTAAGGCCTTTACATTATTTTTATCATATCAGGAAAGTCTGTCAAAAAAAAGTCTCTGCTCCTATATTGTTGACAAGCTCTTTAATAGGAATAGGCGTTCCTCTCAGTACTGGATCTCAGTACTGGATCAAACCCAGAGCCTTATACACGCGAGGCAGTTGTGTTGTCACTGAACTCTGTGTCTGGCCCTCCTGTTGGATTTCTTCCAGGGTATTTTATACATTTTTGCAGATGACTAGGAATTTTGTCTAGCTCTCTTCATGTACTGATGAATTTCCTAGTAGTGAACCAACCTCGCATTTTTTGCATAAATCTCACTTGGTAAAATTATTTCCTTAATGTGTTTTGAATTCCATTAACATTTTCTTTAATATTTTTACATGGACATTCATTCACAAATGGTGCTGTTTCTGTAGTTTTCTTATTTCTGTTCTGTCTTTACCAGGTATAGGTGTCGATATTGTACACACTTCGTAAAGAGAATTGGGAAGTTTTCCTTCCTTCTCTGTGCTCTGGATCAGTAAGTGTAGCATTGGTACTACCTGGTCTTAGGTTTGATAGAACTCCCCCATGACTCTACCTGGGCTTCAGCTTTTTAGGAGATTATTCCTTGATATTTATCCTTCAGAATTATTTTTGTATTTATCCTACAGAATTGGTCTAACTTTCCTGCTTTTACTGAGCTTATTTTCCTAAGAAATCATCTCTTCTAGGTTTTCAGACTTATTTGTAGAGGTCTTCAAAATAGCTTTTGTAAAAAAAAAAAAAAAAAATCCATCTGGGCCATAGGCGGTGCCACCTGTAATCTCAACACTGTGGGAGGCTGAGGCAGGAAGATCTCAAGTTTAATTGGGCAGTTTAAAGAGGCCCCGTCTTAGAATTTTAAAAAAGGGGCCAGGGAAGTGGCTCAGTGTGAAGGTCCTGGGTTCAATCCTTAGTACTGCAAAAGCAAGATAAACCGAGAAGAAGAAAGAAAAAACCCTCCTTCTGTTATATGGTTCTTTATATATTTGTATTTGATCTCTTTTTTACTTAAAGTTTTTTTGTTTGGTTTGGTTTTTTTGAGACAGGGTCTCACTATGTAGTTGAGACTGACCTGGAACTTACTATGTAGCCCAGGCTGGTCTCAAACTCACAGCATCCTCCTGCTTTAGCCTCCAGAGTGCTGGGATTACAGGCTTGCTCCACCACACCCAGCTTGATCCGTGATCTCTTTTCTGTTTTAAATTTGGATAATGTTTTGTCTACTTAATGAAGAAACAAAACTCATAGCATGACTATGTAGTTGAGACTGACCTGGAACTTACTATGTAGCCCAGGCTGGTCTCAAACTCACAGCATCCTCCTGCTTTAGCCTCCAGAGTGCTGGGATTACAGGCTTGCTCCACCACACCCAGCTTGATCCGTGATCTCTTTTCTGTTTTAAATTTGGATAATGTTTTGTCTACTTAATGAAGAAACAAAACTCATAGCATGATGATTTTCAGCTTTATGCCTCATTTTTTCCTTGGTTTACATTGTTTTTTCCCCCCTATTTTCTGAGTTGGGAATTTATTTTCATTTTATTGTTTGCCTTTTATTGATATGTTTAAGTCTGGGGTTTGTTTTTTGTTTTGTTTTGTTTTTTTTGCTGATCACTGCTTTGAATATATCCCAGGAATTCTGGTATATAGTGCTTTGGTTACTATTTTTCAGAAATTCTGCACTTTATATTTTCCTTTTTATCTAAGAGTAGTTTTTTGTTTTCTTTTTTAACCAGTACTGGGGATTGAACTCAGTATTTCCACACTGACCCATATTCCAGGCCCTTTATTTTATTTATTTATTTAATTTTTTTTTTTCTTTTGGTACCAGGGATTGAACTCGGGTCTTTGCACTTGCAAGGCAGACCACTGAACTGCTGAACTAAATCCCCGGCCCACAGGCCCTTTATTTTAATTGCAGTTTTAAAATTTTTGAGACATTGTCTTACTGAACTGCCCAGGCTGGGCTTGAATTTACTAAACTGCCTCAGCCTCTTTGAGTGCTGGGAGTACAGGTTTGTTGCACCACACCCAGCTTGGTTTTCTTTCTAATTTCTAGGTGGGAGGGCTTTTTTGGTTTTTTGAGATTGGGTCTTGCTGTGTAGTTCATCCCTGAACTCATAGGGATCTTCCTGCCTCAGCTTTCCAAACGTTGGTATAATAGGTATGTGCCACCACATCCAGAAGAGCCTTTGAGAATTATGATCTTTGGGGCTGGGGATTTAGCTCAGTGGTGCCACCGCCTACCTTGAAAGCACAAAGTTCTCAGTTCTATCCCTGGTACCCCCAAAAGAGAGTTGTGATCGATATCTCCTCTTATTCTGTTCAGTTTCATTCTGCTTTATCTAATCAGGGTGTTTATAGTTCTTCCATATTTGCCTGGTCACCTAATTATAGTTTAAGGGTTCATATGTGAGAAGAAATCGTATTCTCTGTTATCTGGGTATAAAATTCTGTACATATCTATAAATTTACTTGATTATTATGAAGGACTTCTGATCTTTCTTTTTCCATAAATTCATCTTTCTCTTTCCTTGCCTGTACTGTAGGTTCTGATACATAAATGTCGTTGCTACCTTTTTTGGTGACACTCAAACCACTCAGAGGCTCACTGTGAACTGTGATTGTAACAGCCGTGTCCTTCTGTGTCACACTGGATGCTCCTTGGCCTGGGCTCTCCCTCAGTGGCAGGAGGGCAGCCCTGGCTCTGTGTATTGGAACCAACACGGAGGGCATGTGAAGGCGGCCACCTTTACCTCATTCACCTCCTTCTCTGCGCGTTCCTTTCTGTAACTTCCTGCATCTTCTGCTTGGATGGAGCCAAGGCCTCTGGGTAGTGTAGGTCTCTGGAGAGACCTCAGGAGAGGAGAGAGCAGCCTCTGGGGGTCCCCAGCTCTTATGTGACTGCTTGGCAGTTGCTAGGCTGTGCTGTGAGACCACACCTGGGACCAGATGGTCAGCTCCCTTCCTGCTTAGAGTAGGGTGGTCCCATGTGTCTGCGCCCCATTTACCAACACAAAAATATTTCACCAATTCCTTTTTTTTTTAATTTTATTTTTTGGTACCTGGGATTGAACTTGGGGCCTTGTGCTTGTGAAACAGGTAGCGGAACCACTGAGCTAAATCCTCGACCGTCCAATTCTTCTTGTCTATTAAAAGAATCAGATGGAGCCTTGTACAAATAAATTCTGAATTTTGCCTTATAGTTGATAGCTAGTTACGACGGTTTGAAAAGGCACTAAATGGTAAAAGCTGTGGGTGTGTTGAGCTCTTCAAGCTGAAGTAGTATAGGGATTTGAAGTACTTTGTAAACACAGCAAGCCTGTGGAGTTCAGCTCCCAAGAAGTCATTCAGGTTGAAAATACACAATTGCTTAAGCAGTTGTGACTAGTATTACCATATATCATGCAACGATTGGTGTGGTCATTCCTTCACTTTACAACAAAATTTGTTTGATTATAAATAATACCGGCATATTACAAAAATGTTTAGAAACACAGAGAGAATTTAAATTCTTCATTGTAACTGACGTTTCAGTTCCTGGCCCCTGAGCAGTGGACTGCCAGCTGTGGCCTTCTCACCAGTCAAGTCCTAGGGAACATCTTAAGTTAAGACTACCCATTCTTCTTTCCAGTTACTGTAAGGATTAGTAATTCAGTCCATCACTGAACAGACCATCTTAATTTTGGTATTTGGCTTGCAGAAAAATACGAAGATCTGAGCTCTTCAGATGAGTCCTACCCTGCTGCTCAGAGGCAGAGGCCTTGTCGGAAGAAGGGCCTCAGCATCCATGAGGGACCACGAGCCTTGGCCAGGATCACAGCCATCGGTCTGGGCGGCCAGACGCCGCAGCCTCGCTGTGGTAAGCATTCAGCGCTTCTGAGGGCTCTGTGTATCGCACCCGAAGAGCTGGTCTTGAGAACAGAACCATTCCCTGGCCTTGAAAGGTGGGTCCCTGGGCCTTAGGCTGCAGCGGGGCAGCAGCTGGGCCTTGTATGCCCAGGCATAAGGCTCCACAGAAATGAAGCTAAAGTCAGATTTCATTCACCACACCGTGCATCTGTGTGAAGGCCGTTCCTAGGCTCTGCCTCTATCCTCTTGTCTGAAAGTGCTAGATTTGTGTGAGACCCCTGGCCTCAAGGGATCCCCCTTCTTCTGAGGGCTAGAATAACAGGCATGTCTGCTCTTTTTAAAAACAGTGCAGGGGAGTGAACCCATAGTCTTCACACTGAGCTACATCCTCAGCACACCCTCCCACAACCCACCCTCTTTAAAATTTCTAGATGGGGACCTCCTAAATTGCCCTGGCTGGACTCGAATTAGGAGTCTTCCTGCCTCAGCCTCCAAGCATGATAGAATTACAGTGCACTGCCACTCTCAAATGCATTTGTCTTTTCACTGGAGGATTATGTAATTTTTTATTGATGTTTATTTTTCACCCAGGGTGTTTCCTTCTCGATCAGCCAGATCTTTTGGCCCGGCTTGACTCATTGAGGACTGATCACCTCTAAATGCCCATGTTAAAAGGAGACCTGAGAGACGTGTATGTGTGCACACATACGCGTGTGTGGTTTTTCCACTGGCTCAGGAGTCTGTAGCCCGGCAGTGCCACTGTCCTTCTGCCCTTGAGTGAGCAGCAGCCAGTGTCCTGAGGTGGCCGGGCTTGCCGTGAGCACTGCTCCACCAGGTTCCCTGCCTGCTGTGCCGGGGCCATGTGTCCCCTCAGAAGGGATGGTCACATCCCCCATTCTGTACACAGAACAGGTGCCTCCTCAGGATTACGTGACCTTCACCAGCAGTGATGAGAACCCCCTGGAAGGCGAGGGCCTCTGCTACCGGGATGTCACCTCCCCCATCAATGAACAAGATGTGGAGAGCAGCAGCAGCAGCAGCTGGGGTACGCCCCACCTCCTGCCAGGCTCCCTCAGAGAAGGGGTGGTCTAGAAGGCCCCAGTTCTTGTGAGGAATACGAGTCTGCCATGGGGCAGGTGAGGGGAAGCACCTCGTCCAGTCCCCATGTAGGCTGGGAAGCCACTACACATTCAGGGCTCAGCCCCTTGCCAGGAGGCCTCCACGGCATGCACAGCTGCCATCCTTGGGGAGCGGGGGGCACGGACCTGTGCTCACTTTGGCGCCAGCCTGTGGGGGGTGAGACAGGAAGTCAGCATGGATCAGTAGCAGGGCTTGGCTACTGAGAGGCAGCTGACTGCACAGGGCTCTGGGGAACCCCCACACCCCTGTTCGCTTGAGTAAGGCCTGTGGTCAGCTATCTTGTCTTCCCTGTTACCAGAGGAGCCTGCTTTCTGTGCCAGCTTTGGGGCCATGCGGAGCAGCAGCAGCGAGGGCCTGGCAAAGGCCCAGGGGCTCAGCAGCGAAGCCTCCTTGGAGAGCAATGAGGTGAAGTCCCTCCCTTGGCGACGCCCGATCGTGATCTGCGATAAGCCCCGCTCTCTTGGAGCACTGCCTGAGCTCAGGTGGCACAGGCTACAGGAGAGTCACCAGGGAGGCCTCTGGGTGGCGATAGGGGGTTTCATAAAGGGTTTTCAATTTCACCCACCCCAAAACACAGCCCAAGGGCAGATGGCAAAGCTAGAGGCTCGGGGCTGGAAGCAGGTCTGGCCCCTGCCATGAGGACTTCGAGTACCAAGTTGCTCCCTACATACGCCTCCTACTGCAGGACTCAGATCAGGCCCACAAAAGCTCTGTTCGCAAACAAACCAAAAGTTACATGAAGACTAAGAGTCGTCACAACAACAGTGATAGCCAGTGGCCTCCAAGCACCACGACTTCTGGGACAGCCTTTTCCCCGGGATCTGTCCTCCACGCGGAGCTGTCCCCCTATTCCGGACCCCAGGTATGCCCCTTTGTGAGGCTGGTGTTACATTCTCAGAAAGATGGTGCCTCAGAAATTTGAGGGGCACTTGCTGGGCATACAGCCAGAGAGGGGCTTTAAGAGGCTAGCGTGATGACTGTTAACCCTGCTGTGGCTCAGAGATGATTCCCGATGGGAAGGAGCTGTCTGTCCTCTCACTGTCCGTACTCGACTTGGCCTCCACAAGTTTAGGGAGAAAAACAGGACTGATTTGAGAGCTGCTTCCAGTTGGTGAAGATGCTCGTGAAGTGGAGACCCTCTGAGAGCACACAGCACACACGTACCCTAAGCCAAGGCAGCTTCCTCCTCATGGGGGTCACCCTGGCTGAGGACCTCAGCAGCCTCACATATCTGAGTGCGTGTTTGTTAAGTTCTGATCTGTGGGGCGTAAGTGTTAAGGTGTAACCGTTTGCCGCTGACTTGTGAAAGGAGCAGCCTTGCTGCCCACCAAGCCTGTGGACTCTGGCTTCCACCTGCAGCCCCTGCTCTGCTCTTGGCTCCTGAAGCACTCTTGGTGGTGGTGATCTTAAGGTGCTTCCTTTAAAGAAAATGGTGTAACAAGCTTTGAAAATTTGTTCTTCCGTTCAAAGTAACAAAAAAACTTGCAAAAATAGAAATTCTGGAGCTGAAAAGTACAGCTAAAATGAAAATTTCACTAGATGAGCGCAAAAGCAGGCAAGAGAGTGAAGAAATGTCATAGGCTGCAAGAAGGATGCTGTCTGAGAAACAGAAGGACGAAGAAAAACAGAAACCTGTGCCACACCGTGAGGCACACAGAGCGGTGTGCCACTGAGGTGCCGCGCACACCAGCGGCATAAATGAAGGAGATGCGCGTGTAGACCTGGAAATCAAACCGTCAGCTGAAGGCAACCGAAAAGAACCAGAGAGAAAAGTGACTCATCACAAGATTCATAACTTCCCGACAGCCCTCATAGAACCAAACATCCCTGAGGTGGCCCGTGCATGTCCGAGACCATGTGGTGCTCACACAGGCTCCCTGCCCTACCCACAGCACTGAGCACATGGGCAGTGGGACCTCTGCCTGCAGACAAGTCCTTGTCTTGGAGCTGGGCTTAGGGGGTCTGTGACATCCCACACCTCGTGCCCCGTGCTCTTGTCTGTTGTCATTACCCTGCAGGACCTCGCCACACTGCTGGAGCAGATCGGGTGTCTGAAGTACCTGCAGGTGTTTGAGGAGCAGGACGTGGACCTCCGCATCTTCCTGACCCTCACAGAGAGCGACCTGAAGGAAATCGGCATCACGTGAGTCCTCACCCGCACACAGCCTGCTCGCAGCATTCATCCCAGCAGTGTGGAAGCTTTCGTGTGTGGTCTCTTGCTATGAAGGACAGAGGGGCCCATGATGCCTGGCTGACACTGCCACATTCAAGGCCCTTGGAGGTCTTTGCCAGTTTATCTTTGGGTGGTATATATTTAGTTTTATTTTATTCACGATTAGAACATAAACATTCTACAAATGATAATTATCAGTTTTTACTACAGGTACTAGAATAATTTAGTGACTTACATCCAAGCTCTTGAGCATGTGTTTTGTTTTAGTGTAAAATCCAAATTGAAGCCTTTCATCCTGAATGCATAGTCAGTCTGCACTTTTAGTCCTAATTCCTTGAGTATGGTAATGTCTCGAAGTGCTCTCAAATTTCTTACGCATCTGGGCAGCAGTGCCCTGCCCGAGCTCTTTTATTTCTCCACGTGGCTCTAGTTACTGCCTGGATGCTTTCCTCTCCCCGCAGGACTCCTGTGAGCACTCCTGGCAGGACAGGTCTAGGGGGTCACAAACTCCATGGGCTTTTGCTTGTCTGAGGTCTTGATTCTCCCTCACTTTGGAAGGACAATTTAGCTAGATTAAGGGTTCTTGGTTGGTGGATTTGAATGTATTAGCCCACTGGCTTCTGTCTGCAAAGTTTCTCATGAGAAATCTGGGAATTCTTCTGTGTGTGATTGAACTCAGGATCTTGTACTCGCCAGGCAGGTGTGGCTGCTGGGAATTTTATTGAGAATCCCTTGTGAATGATGAGCTGCTTTTAAGAGTGTCTTTTTGAGCTGGGCGTGGTGGTGCACGCCTGTAATCCCATCACTCAGGAGGCTGAGGCAAGAGGATCGCTGTGAGTTCGAGACCAGCCTGGGCTACATAGTGAGTTCCAGGTCAGTCTCAACTAAATAGTGAGACCCTGTCTCAACAACAACAACAAAAAAGTATCTTTTGAGGGCCAGGGATTTAGCTCAGTGGTTCCGCTGGCTGCCTCCCAAGGGCAAGGGCCCGAGTTTGATCCCTGGTACCAAAAAAAAAAGAGTATCTTTAGAAAGTGTGATTATTATGTGTCTCGATGTTACTCTGTCATATGCATGCTTCCCCACTTTTCCTTCTGGGGTTCAGTGTCGACATACTGGACAGTACCCCATGTCCCTCAGGCTCTGTGCATTTTTCTTCAGTCTTTTTTCTTTTGTTCCTCAGACTCGTGTCTGTTGTCTTCAAATTTGTAGATTCAGTCTGCTGCCTGCTTATATCTGCCTTTGAATTAGTCTATTTTTGTGCTACTGGGAATGGAAACCCAAGCCTCGAACATGGTAGCCAGTCACTGCTGCTGAGCAACACATCCAGTCCCTTTTCATTTTGAGACAGGGTTTTCCTAAGTTGCACAGGTTGGCTTCCAACTAACCATCCTCTTGCCTGTCTCCCTGAGTAGCTGGCATTACATTTGTGTGCCACCATGCTTGGCTGAGAGCTCAACTTAACCTAAACTAATTGTACTTACCCTCCAAACCTTCACTGGACTCCAGTGCCAAGATTCACATTTCTGCAAGTGCAGCTGTATAGGTGGAAAATAGTTCCCAGTGAGCTTCCCAGAATCCTCTGTGGGTTCCCCTTTGAGGACCTTCTGAGCAGGCAGACCTGGCTGTCCACAGCTAAGAGCAAGTGCAGGGGAATGGGATAGCAGGGCAGGCTATTGGCAGCCCTTTGTTTGGCCTCTGCCTTAGGATCCCAGGACTGCCATTCTCCTAGGTGCGGGTTTGCTAGGAAACAAACAAGGGTGGGCTCCATGCATGCAGCAGATGCATGCACATCCTTCTCTGATTGTCCCTCAGGTTGTTTGGGCCCAAAAGGAAGATGACCTCAGCCATCGCACGCTGGCACAGTGGTGCCCGTCCCCCCAGTGATGCACTGGAGCTGGCCTATGCGGACCGGCTGGAGGCCGAGATGCAGGAACTCGCCATCCAGCTGCACAAAGCAAGTGGGAGCAGGGAGCACGCAGAGGGGCTCAGTGGCAGGGAATAGGGGGAGACACCTGGAGCCAGTAAGGGACTCTCCCAGAGACAGAGGTGGACATTGCCACACAGACGGGGTGCCGCAACTGGGGCTGTAGGATGGGACTGAAGAAGCCCACCAGTGGCGAGCTCTGAGGAGAAATATGGGGAAGTGGGAGAGGGTTAGAGACAGCAGCAGACCCAAGGCGCCTGTGGGGTAGACAGCCCAAGTCACCAGGGCCTCAGCGCACACCCAGCCTGGGCCCTTGCCCTGCAGCGCTGTGAGGAGGTGGAGGCCGTACGTGGCCAGGTGTCCCAGGAACAGGAGCTGCGGGCTGTGGTGGAGAGCTGCCTGCTGGAGCAGGATGGAGCCCGCAAGGACGTGCACACCCAGTTGCAAGAGACTTGGGCCCTGGCCCAGGATGCTGCCCTCATCCTGGAGCAGCTCCGGTGAGCAGCTGGGGAGGTCTGGGGGACACAATGCAGGAGTGCTAGCTGTGCTTTGTTGTGCCTGGCCCTAGCCATCGACTCTCCTGCTTCTGTCAGGCCCAGGGTCCCTTCAGTTCCCCTACCTTTTCACCCAGCAGCAGAGGGATGTGGGGTCCATATGCTTTTGCTCCTGCTTGCCCACACAGCTTCCTGGGACGCTTGTCAGGACCGTGGAGGCCAGCTATGGGCACAGGGCAGTGTCCTTTGCCTGTGGGGGTTCTGGTGAGGGGCTTGGCAGGCAGCAAGGTCTTTGCCTCACCCGCACTTGGTCTTGTCTGGCAGAGCCTGTCAGATTGAGCTTTCGGCCCGCATGAGGCAGGACCAGTCTCCCAGCACAGCTGCCTTGAGCCCAGCACCACTCCCAGCAGGTAAGGACAGCCGCAGCCAGTCCTGTAGGGTAGAGGGCTCCATCTGGCTCTCTTTGTGATTGTCACTCCCCCCTCCCCCTCCCCAGTGTCCCAGCCAGGTGCCCAGGGAACCAAGCTCACCTCCTTACCTGAGAGGGAAGGCGCACTGCACCCTGGTGGTGGGAGGCATGGCCACCCATGGCATAGAGAAAGGCCTGGCTGGCTGAGACCTCCAGTGATTGCTTTCCAGTTAGGGCCTTGCTCTCCTGTGTCTGAGCCTGACTGGCAGTCAGGGCTTTGGTTGGCATGTGAAGGAGAACAATCACAGGTCTTTCTAATCTCACAGACTCCAGCTGGGGAGAAATGTGACACAGGAGCCCCTACCTTGGCTTTTAGAGGTCATTCAAATGCCCATAGTTGGGTAGGGAGGATGCCCTGGCCCCAGGGGCTCAGGACAAGAGGCAGGGCCTGTGGGGACACACCCAAGCCAACCTCACCTTCTGCCTACAGACTCCAAAAGCTGGTGTACATCCGTGCAGGCCATGAGCCTTCTGGAGCTATCTGTAGTCCTGGAAGACAGAGTCCATGAGATGGGTGAGTCTCCAGGAGGGCAGCAAGGCCTTGTCCCACCTAGGGTCCAGGCTGTGGTAAGAGGGGACCCCTCGCTAGGAAAAGCAGATGTGAACGTTTTTTTGTTGCTAGGCTGGCCTGTGGGGCGGGCCCCAGCCTGAGCCTGACAAAGAGGTTTAAGGTCATTTATTCCTAGTGCCCCACACCCCCCTGCCTCCCTGCTATGGCCCAGACTTGCATAGAACACTGTCCCTCTCTGTCCCCAGGGCAAGCACTGTGCTTAGTGACCCAGAGCCTGGAGAAGCTGCAGGTGCTTAATGGGAAGAAGTGGCGGGACCCCTAGCTAGGAGGAATGGTGAGCGTCTACCAGCCTGGGTCTGCCTGGGCAGCTGCATGTGCAGATGGGTATCCTGGACCCTCCTCGGGCTTCTCCCTTCGCACTAGGACCTTGTCTTTCACAGAATCCGACGTTGGGTGATCGATCCACCCTGAAGCTATGTGCCAGGAAGACAAGAGGGCAGTGAGCAGGCAGCTGCCACAGCTCAAGCCTCAGATGGGGCTAAGGATCAGCCCCAGGGAGCAGCCTGCACAGAGGCAGGACAGGGACTGTGGACCCTTCCAGGGCAGTGAAGCCAGCTGTGGAACAAGATGTGGGCCTGATGATCAAGACCCTGAGCTTGTGGAATGTCTGACCCAGACCAGGCAGGGTGTGGGGAGTATGTGTGTGTCCCCTAAATGTACGCACCACACTTAAGTTTGACCTTACAGGTGAGGACCTGGACCACTTAAAAATGTGCCATTTGTTTTGGAAAATAAAATTTAACATTAACATTAGCAATTCTGGCCCTATGATGTGTCACACAACATGTCAACGGGCCAGAGGAAGAGGAGAGATGTGCCAAGACTGTAACTTAGCGACCAAGGGTGTTGGGTGGATAGCACCGGTTCCTAGGCTACCGAGTCTGGCCCACACAGCACCACCTCCTGCCTTGGCCCTCTGCCTGAGCTGTCAGTACCACCTTCCTTACAACGTAGTTTTCCAACCACATAACCGGGAGTCTTTTCAGAGACAGATTCCCATGGTGGACTTCCTGTCCCACAGTGGCTCTGCTGTCCCTCTGCACACTTAAGATAGTGCTTCTAGACAGTGCCAGCAGCCATTTGCAGGCTATTGCTGAGGAGAGGCAGGCTCCGCCCAGTGCAGCTGGAGCTACCAGATCAGGAAAAGGAAGCCTGATGCTCGGAACAAGCTAGACTGGTGGCTGGCAGAGGTGATGAAAGGTTGGTAGGGAACTGGTAGATGAGGGGGGACAGATGCCTCTGTAGGGTCCCAAGCCTGAGGACTCAGTCCCCATTGGGCCCGGTCTTCACATTCAAGAGAAGCATGAGGCATCTGCCCTAAGGTAAGGGGGTTACAGACGCATCTCCTAAAGCCAGTGCCGGGCCTCAGTCTAGAAGTGAACGCCTAGCAGAAGAGGAGCAACTTCGTGACTTTCTCTTTTCACACACACAGCACCCCCACCCAAGAGCCTCACTGTTAGCAACCAAGCCACAGAGGGCAAAGCCACTTTAAAGCCTCACCAGAGTTCACACTATGAAAAAGAAAAAACCCACTGAATCCAGCAATAACCAGAAGTAATGGTACAATATCCTACCCAAAGCTGGTTCTTCTCTAGGCCCTGGGGCTGGCTCAGGAAGGAGGCAGGAACAAGTCCACCGGGACAAAGGCCACCTCCACCAGAACAAACTTTCCTGAATGGTCCCAGAGCTGTACTGCCAGCTGGGACCCCCCTGCCCCAGTCCACAATGAAAAGAGAGACAGGTCTGAGCCAGAAGAATCAGGCCCAGTTCACCCACTGACCAACCAGAGAGGGAAGCTGTGTCTCAAGAACTGCTTGGGACAGTGGAGATAAGCAGCCGCCCACTCATCCCATGCACTCACCAAAGGGGTGCAAAGCAAACTCCCGGGGGCTCCAGGTAGGGTGGCAGCCAGCTTCCACAGGGACCACCTCAGGAGGAAGCAGGGAGCAGCTTCTCCAGGGCCTTCTGCTTTTCTGTGGCTGAGGGCAAACAGAAGCTGGCACTTGGCGGTGCTGACAAAAGCGTTGCTCAGGAGACTGGGAAAGCCTCCGACTCGATCCTTCTGGGCGTAGAGAGGGACGCGCACAAGGCCCAGTACCTGTAGGGCAGGAGACCAGAGTTGAGGCCCGGCCCTTCAGCCAAGGTCAGTGCAAGCAAGTTTCTAGGCTTAACCCCATGCACACCTGACCCTCTGCCCCGTCCAGCAGAGGGAAGCCTCAGGTGCCGCTCTTCCCACCCACACCCCGCGTCCCCTGAGTCTCCAAACCCTTCCAGACTGAGGAAGTGGCGAATCCCAAGAGATTCTGGACTGCCTTTCATCAGTTTCTCATCTCCCCTTCCCATCCTCCCACTGACCACCCCCCCACGCCCCACTCCCAGGATTGGCAAAGCCGGCAGCAGGGCGGATGGAACACAGCCCCGGGGGAGCCCCAGCCCCACCCCACCGGGCCAGGGTATCCCGGGGAGGACGCGTTACCCATCGGTGCCTTCCGCTGGGCCAGTGCCAAATCCCGGGGCCCGGGCTGCGGCCCCACCTCCAAGCCGTGGTCGTGCGAGTACACCGGGCGGATCTCTCTCCAGCGTCAGCTGCCGAGCGTGCAGGTGCGCGACTTCGGGTGCGGGCCCTCGTCAGGTGCGAGCTCAGGTAGTCGGCCTCGGTGAAACGCAGGCGGCCCGGCCCAGTGACCAGAGGCGCAGGTCCACGAAGCACATCGGCATCTGCAAGGGGAGCGTGGGTCACGGGAGAAGAGGCCGTGCGTTGCCCTGACCGCACCTGCGTCCTCCCGCGGCCTCACCAGCAGCGAGAATCCCATGGGGACGCGGCCAAACAGCTGCCCGGGATTGGCAGCGTACAGGATGGCGTGGCACGAGTGGCTCCAGCCCCGCCGCATCCTCCGCGTCCTCCCGGGTGATTAGAGCTCGGGAACCGCTGCAGCTGAAACCTTGGACAAGTTAACAGACCAGCCACCACTCTTATGTGCATGTGCGGCCCCGCCCCCGAAGCGCTCCGCCAATCAGCGGGTGGCCACAAACGAGCATCCCGCTCTCCACCAATCGCCGATTCATCCCAGGACTGGCCCAAGGGGGAGCCTAACACTTTACTGAGCTGCAGAGTACGTAGTGCGCAAAGTAAGCCGCACGCGCCGCAGACCCTGCCCACGCCCTCAAAAGTACGCCTCCCAAAGTGCAACGCGGTGAGTGGAGTCCGCAGTGGGGCGCGAGCTGTGCGGCGTAGCAGGGTCAAGGCAAGCGGAATTTGGGCTGCTGGCGCCCCAAGAGTACAGCGGGCAGTCCTCACCTTCATGATGCGGATTTCTCCCCGGATCCATCCAGAGGTGATGGTGCACTCTGGGCGTCGCTGCCCCTCGGAAGCCTCTAGATCCAGAGCTCGCTCCCGAGCTGGGACCTCGGGACTCGGCCTCCCCTGGGACAGCAGGTTGTGGCAGAACTCCCACCCACCACCCCGAGCGCAGGCCAGCCTTGGTAGATGGGTGGCTGGTAAGGCAGTCTCAGAGACTTCTATCAGGGGGCCGGGGACTTGCCAGCCTAGTGTGCCCCAAGTGTTTTCCAGGCTGACTTGCCAAAGGCACCACAGGCAGGACCCCACCATCTCCCACCCAGTACCCACAACGGAAAGCTGCTGGATTCTACAGGAAAGAAGGACCTTTAGTACTTACTCTGTGTTGCTACTGGAGAAGTCCTTGGGCCTCACCTGGACACTCCCACTGGGGCTGGCTGAGGCCCAAGTGTCCCAAAGTAGCTGCAGGGCACTGGATGGCAAGCATTCCCAGGGGCAGGCATGGACCCAGAACACTCACTGGTTTCCTCTGCTCTTACGAGTTGCAGTCAGAAAGGAACCCGAGGCAGCTTCAGCTATTTCCAGGGAGCTGTGGGCCCAGTGTGGTGGTAGGTAACCTGGTGTACAGCAGGTGGGCAGGGTAACATGGCTAAACTGCATGGGTTCCAGCCTCCAAACCCACCATCTCAGTACAGCCAAACCTGCTGTTCCAGTCAATCCCTACCCTACAACCTTGCCTTAAAAACCTGATTAAAGCCAAGCACAGTAGGGCACAACTGTGATCTCAGCACTCAGAAGGCTGAGGCAGGAGGATTGTCACAAGTTCAAGGCCAGGATGGAATATATGGCAAGACCTTGTCTCAACAAACCAAAGGCCAGGGATTTAGCTCAGTGGGGCCACCACCTACCTTGAAAGCACAAGGCAAAGTGCTCAGTTCGATCGCCTGTACCAAAAAAAAAAAAAAAAAAAAAAAAA